AGCATGAATAAGCACTCATAGTAGAGACAGGACAGCAGTAAATTACAGACACATTCTGTAATTCCCACCTTAGCCTTGGTTCCATGTTTGACTTTGTTTTGCTGCATACAGGCAACATCCCTGAGGCTACTGTTAAACATAAATGTGGTTCAACGGCAACTGCTCCTTCCTCTTCTCTGAGATGCCAAAGACTAGCGTTGAGAATCAAAGCTGTATTTTACTGGGCATAAGCTCACACTACAATCTCTGGGGTATATGCTAGTGAGTGAGTCTGGTTTGAAATCTTAAAGCCAGCTTTTGACATATCATGCTCAGGTGGGTTCAGAAATATTATATGTGTAACATAAAAAACCCCGTGGTCTTAGTCACTGCCCCAAATTTCCAGTGACTTTCAGGGCCACTTTATTATAGATTGTCATCAAATTTCAAATTCTGTAACATTCTGTAAATGTAAGAAGTGGCAATGTTTTCTTTCTGTATTGATTTTCAGTATACCTTTTTTCCCTTATTGATCCATTTCCATGCATCTTCCCTTTTAATATTAAGGCATTGATAAACCAGCTGTCCTGACAAAAGAACCCATGTTTTTATAGTTGACTGACCATTTGGCATCACTTTATCACAGGACTATCTTACTGTAAAATGCACTGGTATATAAAATATATCAAGATGCATTTAAGAACTCCAGCTGAAGAAATGCACTGGGAAAGTTAACATTTGTGAACTCTCCACCAGATATGTTTTAATATGTTTTTACAAAATTTCTTTTATCCACAAGTGCCAAATAGAATATTCCTATAACATTTGACAATGTTAAGTTACCTGACATTAAAAATGCTGCATCCTTGTCCTTTTCAGCACAGGATTTTCCCTGCTAATGTTTTCTTTCTATTTGAGTGAGACTGATAAGCTTAATGCGCTTATCTGATGAGAAGAATCCAGTAAGACAGTCATTATAATGCCTGTATGCTCGAATAGCACGGACAACACTTAAAGATTGACGTATCACATGCTCATACTCTTCTCTTTTTACTAAAACAAGCCTGATTAGGCAGTTTTAAGTTTCCTGTTCTGAAAAATAAACTACTTGTTCTCTTCCACTGCAACTCTCAAATTGGTTGACTTCTCAGAATGGAGTAATGGTTAACTTGAAGGGTCTGCAATTTAACAGTTTCAACAGTCCAAAAAATGGGTTCGGATCTGTCACAGGATATCAACTATTTGCACCCGATGAGGAAGTAGTCCTTGCTCTCTCAAATCCTCTCAACTGATTTTGGAGATGGGATATGGCCAATTGTTAGGGAAGACTGCTCTAAAACTGCTGCTCATTATCCTTCCTTGTCATGCTTCAAATTAAACATCTTTTGGGTAACCTACAATAAAGAATTAAGATCCTTTGAAGGGATCAGTGAAACTAGATACACTGAAAAAAATAATATTTCTCAAGATGTAAGAAAAGTTCCTCTTGAAATAAATGTTATCAAACTGACAGGAACTGTGTATTACAGGAACACAGGAACTGTGTATTACTGCTGTAGTGCCTATCACTGTCTAGAAGGACTAGAGAAGCAAGGAGAGAACGTGCACTTCCTTTCTTGCACAGCACACAGTTTCCTGTAGCAGCCATTTAGCAACAAGGATCAATGCAGCCAAGAAGCAGGAAAAGAAAGAGAAGCCCGCTTTTCACACTGACCATGCAGCTGTATCACATCCATGTTACTTGCCTGAGTACACAAAGCAGTGGAAATAGACAGAAAAAATATTTTTTCTATCTTTCAACATCCTGGTATTGAATTAACTCAGCCTAAGATCTAAACTGGCCAGTGGAATATGAACAAGTATGCTGTTCCTCCCAACAATCAAAGCTTAGTTTATGGCTGTATAACATGACAATCAACTTAAGGCTTTGGTCAAGTCAAGCAAACCGAAGTATTAAAAAAAATTAGGACTAGAGAGATCAGCTTGAAATAAATTTTCATTTTAGAAGTAGAGCAATTTATCATTTTAATCATATTACAGTAAAAATTTCTCCAAGCCAAACTATTTTCTGTTGTCTTGGGCAGAATAATACTTTGTCATAATGTTGAACTTCTGACTTTTCAAGCCATCTCAAGACAAGAAACATTCCATACTCTCCACAACTCTCAAAAATCATCTCCATCTCATTCTGCTCAATACAGGGGCCAATGACAGCTCCAAAAAAATACAGGAGTGAAGAGTATACATTGTTATTTGATAGAAAAAGCCTAAAATTATTACACAGCTACATCATTGAGATGTACAGGCTTGCCTGTAGAGAAGAAAAATACTGGTGTTGAGCAGAATCCTCCAAAGAATAGCAGGAACAAGTTCCCAGCACTGCTAAGAGTTAGTGGGCTAGATTGGGGACCTTGTTGAGCTTGCACAGCAAGTAGTGCTAAGGATCTTGGTCATCATCTGCAACTCCTTGAAACAACTGTAATAAAAGTTCTTCTCAAAGCATGATATACTTCCTGACTTCTCAAGAAAAAAGAAAAAACATCATAGCATTTGATGCAAAGTAAGATTAACAAAGTCAGTGAAATGTAAATAGTTAATAAATCAGCATATTCCAATAAAGTTTTAAGCAGATCAGTATTGTGCCTGAAAGCCTGCTCAAATTTAGTTGCATTCTCTTTAATGAAGCAAAAATGGTATTTCACAGAACAACAAGAAGTAATATTGGAAGTCCTGAATAAGGTATTGCTATTGCTGAGGCTCTCTAGCAACTCAAATAAAAGGTTAATTCGGTGCCTTACTCAGTAGCCTACCACCAGCACCCTCAGTTTTTCCGACATTCCTTTTTTTCCTACTTCTCCTTTTTATTCCACTAAAAGCAGAAAACTGGGACGTAGCTGGCTCCAACTTATTCCCATGCTCTACTATTCATTATCACTTAACTGCTTTCAGCTTATGGAGATTGCTGACCTGCATTTAAATATTTTTTTTTTTCTGACACTATCCAACATTTTCGTAGAACTCCGTTTGAGATTTAATCACTTTCCATAACTTCGTATCTTTTTGTAAAGCTTTCTTCATCTGGTTTGGAAACTAAAGTAGAAATTTAATTATTAAGTTCTTTAAGAACTATAGGCAGTTTTCAAGGTGTAGGATGCAAAAATACCTGTCCACAATGTGTGAACACTGAAGAAAAGCATGTAATATAATCATGGTAATATTCAATTAATAATATTCAACTTGACTGCTTCAAGAGACCGTCCCATACAGTTCATCTAGACATTGGATACACCCTCATTTTGGAATCATGTGCAAGATCACTGCTTACCAGATGAAGCTATCTCTCCCAGTCTTTGCAGCTAGTCATCTCCATATACTACACATCTGAATTTGTGTGTCTTTGTCTGAACCAGTCCATCCCATCGCTTATAGCTTCTGAAGTAAAGCCTAAGTGCAGCATACAGTGTCCATAAATAACTCCTAGCAGAGAGACATCCTGCTGCATTAAACCAATTGGACTTTGGCTTGTTGGATTTTATTTCAGCAAGTCATAAAGGTTCGCGGGTAGCTCACGTATTCATAGTAGCAGCAACAAGCACTTAAAAGTTGTTTTAGAAAGGTATTGTACAAAGTCAGACCATTTTATTTCAGTATGTATGTGAGTAATCTCTGTCAAGATACACCCTGAGGAAGTGTGCTCAGTGTTGATTTACACATGCTATAGCGGGTGTCTGGCTATCTGCCTCACAATAGAGGTACCTTCTAAAGACAGACAGCCTTGTTCTCTTTCACTTCTCAGAAGAATCAAAAATAGCTTAGTTGTTTACAGTCACAGAAGTCAGCAACAAGAAAACACTTCTCCTTTAGACATATAAACCAGGCATCTAGATGAAATGCAAGACTCAATAGTCTTGAAAAGCAAGCCACATACTAATAACACCAGGTTACTTGAGTCCTGCTCAAACATAGAAAACCAAGCTGTTTGTGCTTTTCTGTATATCAAGTGCAAAAAACATTCTCAGCACCTTTGACAAAGATGCTTCTTCCTGGAACAGTTGTATTTTGTCTGCTGACAATGAATAGCTGAAGTCTTATGTTAATCAGTCTAAACAATTCATGTTTTCACCTCTGTCTCATCTTCAACCACCTTCCCTGACTTCACAAAGCTATACTTTCTTCCAGTTATATAATGATACCCTGCAAACACAGGTTTTAAGTTTTATAAACAAAGTCCAAGCAAACCACAGCTTAGACAGGAAGGTTTCCAGTGAGTATTTTTTATGTTTTAGCTTAAGTAACAAAAGTAACTTGAGAATTTATTTTAAAAAATATTTCACTAATAGCAACCAGAACCTTTCCAGTATTACAAAACAGTAGACTTCTTTATCCCCACCTAAGTTTTCAGTAGTAATAGTTTTAACTCTGGAAGAGACTTAGGAGCTAGTATCAACACGCATTCGTTAGTTTTGTAATTGCCAGAAGTCACATGGGATGCCCCTACCACACAATACACTAAAAACTCCTTAGCTGCAGGCAGAAATATACATTCTACACACTGCTTCAACCAAGTCTAGTTGAAGTTGGGCTGTTGGGGGTTTTATATGCAGAGATGGAAAAAATTAAATTTGAATAAAAAACCTGAAACTCCTATTCTGAGGCAATTCCATTCTTGAACATCAAGACTTGACAATTTCACTCTCCATATCTTCATACATTGTATCACTTACAAGGCTGATAGTCAGATACCAGTGTTAGAACAAACCAATCTGGTTTTCAGTTTTGACAGAGGTCACCGTTGTTAGATATATGAAAGCTAATGGCGTTTCTACATGCTGACACAATCACTGTCAGATTTTAGATTCACGTCAAAGCTCTGCACAGCCAAGAAACTTTATCTTCACTAGCATGAACAGACCACCTTTCTCCATCATGCATACAAACACATCAGAAGAGCACAGCAATGGTAGTCTAAGAAAAAGTATCTACACCACAGTTAAGGCAAAAAAGGAGAAAATGCACCAGGATCAGTCTGTATCAAAGCCATCTATTATTTCAGAGAAAATAAAAATCAGATTGAAGACAGCACACTTCTCTTACACAGACTAATTCATTACTACTACTTCTTTTGTGTATCAGAACATACCCACACCATTCAGTGCATTCATATGCAATACTAAATCTACCTTTCAGAAAAAGGAAGGCCAAGGATATTCTACTTTGTCATAGACATCACCTTTACTGTTTTTCCAAGCATGACAACTTACGTAAAAAAAGTCAGAGCACAAAACATTTTGAAGTTTCAGCTACCACCATTTGTGTTCTTTTGTGATAGTAGTTTACACATTTTTTCTGAAAAGCCTCCTCCAGAAACTTAAATGGGCTTTTTCAAAACACTTTACAGGAGAAAGAACAAGTTGGGAATAAGTTCAATTCTGCCTAGAATCCCCAAATTTACAGCTACATCTGGCAAGTTTCCCATCTTTAATTTAATCACTCCAAATTAGAAGTTACAGTTAATGCCAATAATGCCAATTAATTGTTCACTCAAGCCCTGCAGGGAAAAAAAAAATATTCTCATGGATAGTTTATAATGCTGTCTTTGGAAATAAAAGTATTAAAGCAGCTAAAGAGTTTCCCATGCATCTGGTTTACTGGCTACCAGACAGATGAGGGCTAAAGTTGCTTTGACTTTCTGGGGATCTTCTGAGAGGACAAAGTAACTGCAGAGGCAAGGTATGTGCATGCACCAACTGTTTTAGCTGCAAGTCAAACACCTCAATGTTAAACAGCAGTTTACAGAAGCATTCTCTTCCAGTAAGGGGATACTCTAAATACTGCTGCTTGCCAGAAATGGATTAAAGAATTGCTGTAGCTATGGATGTACCCAAAATAAAGCTGTTTTCAGTTAGGGGAATAGAATGAGCAATTTAACAGTGCACATGAAAAGCTTGCATCTTTCACTGACTTATTCACTTCACAATCACTGACAAGACTGATGTACATATTTCTGCAACTGTAAAAGCAGATAAAATATTTAATATGTAATTTACAATGTATTTTATCAGCTTGGCATACAGATGAACAGAATATATCAAAGTAGTTGAGTTATAGGCTTGTGGAGGCCCTGCAAAAATATTAATTCAGATATCTGCTAATTTAAAAAAAAATCAATTTGCATTTTAGAAGTGATACAATTCCATCTACCACAAAATACAAAGAGCTGCAAAAACGTATACCATTCCAACAACAATGTATATAAGTTATTAAATAATGATCTGATTTAAAAGAATATAAATGAAGCCTTTAAGTAGGTCTTTTCTACATGCATATTATTCCTCATTAAAGAAAAATATGTAAAAAGGCCATTGGTAATTGCTTTGTTAACCACTGTAGAAAACGCCAATTCTCTGGTCACAGATGCCACTAGTTTAGCACTTAAGGTCTCTGCAGTGTTACATGTGATTATTTTTAAATACTGTTAATTCTATTACTCCATTGGTAAAGAATGTGTGACTTGGAATATGGCAGTCTTCATATTGAGAGGGCAGTGATGCACAGTTTTATAATTATCCAGAAGAACAGCACCCTCCACTGCTCTGCACTTGTGGCTCATCATCAATGATCTGTACACCTCGCCTTGCTATTCCTGACTGACTGGAGCCATTGCCTCTTGCTCTTTCATCCACTTGAGCAGTTTCTATCATTCCTGTAAAGAAAGAAATGTATTAGATGACATTCCACTTCATTTTTACATTGAGACTCCGCTATCTTAATCTGAACTATATGCACAGAGACAAAAGTTCATCAAGAGTGGTTCTCCTATTTGTTATGCAGAACTAAGTACTCGGGTATCACATGGCATAGCTGCAAGAACATATTAAATCTTTTTTCTAAAGTACCCAACATACAGTGGCTCCTGGTAACTACGGGAGATCGTAGAGATCCTCAGGTGTCCTGGAATTAGCAACTTCAAAAGCTAGATTTACCCACCCATATCATTAATACCGTTAAAAATCCCAACCAAATAAACAAGAAAGACCACCCTCCAAAAAAATCCTCCCCAAAACCCCAACCAACTACCTCTTCAGAAACACAGGAGACCTTTTCCTTAAATTCTTTTATCACAGAAATACAATTAATAGGATGATTTGTTTGTGTTGGATTTTCATCCCACATACCATGATCTTTACAATTTGTTTAGATTTCTGTGTAAAATTTGCATCATTAAAGCTTTGAGTTTATGATTTGTAATAAGTATCGTAAGAAGATTTTTGAAGGAGCTTGGAACAGAGGGTCTGAAGCAAGCAGTGGTGAGAGCAGCAACATGAAGTTTAATCTGGGTTACTACTTATGTGTGATAAGTGGAACAGCAGACAGTGCTCCAACAAATGACCAAGACATTTTTAGAGTACAGCATGAATTTGCAATATTGTAAGCATCCATACATCAGGCTTCCAGAGCTGCTACAGAACACAAGTGACTTGAAGTAGACTGAAATGAAATCAGTTCTAAGTAGTACCGTACACTAAAGCTTTTCTATATGGGCCTGAAAAGCATTTCTGAAGCCTGGAGCATTTTATGCATTAGCTCCTTACCAACAAACCACATAATACTTACTTTTGCAAAGGTCAAGAAAGAGTTCTTCAATTCCTTTGTTCTGTTTAGCTGACGTATGATAATGCTTTGCTCCAACAGATTCAGCATACCTGTAGAAATGCAGATATGGAGCCTCATTGTAGTAAAGGACTATCTTTCTAAGCTACTTTACATGAAGGTATAAAATGATCACAACAGGTTTTATTCTGACTTCAGAGTTAATCTACACATGCTTATTTAACACAAAAAAAAAAAGGAGTTCTGCCAGGACTGATGCAACACAGATGAAATTAAGAAAATTTCATGTCCAGAAATGGACTTAAACTACAAATGTTGACTTTAATCACAAACAACTCCCAAGCTACAGTTTGGTCAGCCAGGATACCCTGTGACTCAGATACTAACAGAACACTCAACAACTGGCAGGCATAAGCCAGCAATGCCTAGCTGGCTGATGTTAACAGCATCACGAGTTTCTTACTCCAGCATAATTCTGCAATGACTGTTTCTGTTAGTAATAGGTGTGACTTACATTTCTGCTTCTTGCACTGAAACATGTCTCTCTTTTTCCAAGTCTATTTTGTTACCTGTTGAAAACAAATTAATCTTTTTAAGTACTTGTACTCTAAAACTACCCAAAAGGAAAGCAGACATGTAATCATAGTACTCCATTTTCTCAAGCTGTCCCAGTGAAAACCAGCTCTTACACAAGTCTCACTTTCAAGGACAACATGATTTGACAATCTCCTTTCACACAAACATTTAGAGGCAACAAAGCGCTACCTCAGTAGAGAGATCAGGACAGCTAAATGCCTCCATATAAAGTGCCCAATTCAGCCTTTTTGTCCTTTTTTTTGTGATTAGCACTTTCCATGTGCTACAGGGGTAATTTTTGTAGAATGTCCACATATCTAACCTCATTAGAGTATTTTAATAATTAGATCAGATTTAAATCTACATCCAGCACTTCTGTTGCATTCCATTTGCATTGAAATATCCAATCTTTAAGACTCGCTCCAACCTTCAAGCACTTAATTATCAAAACAGACATGCACCTTAGTCTATGCCACCAAGAAAAGCCATAAGTTTGAGTACTTGAAAGAAGGATAATACATTTTTTGTTAAACTACCATCTGCAGGTGTAGCATGCACTTCTGATAGTGTGCTATTAAACAGATTATTTTTTTCAAACTCTTGTTTTCCTCCATGTGATCTACTGAAACTTCTAGCTCCAGTTCAATTTTAAAAATCTGACATAAGCTTTACCCTTTCACATGTACAAGCTGTCAAAGCAGCATTTGGAAGATGCTGTTAATCAAAACAGATTTCCCATTCAATCATGTTGAAAAATACTTACCTACTATACATAAACAGATTTCATTTCCCAACATTTTTCTTAATTCTTTAACCCAGTTTTTTACCTGCAAAAAGAATAGATGTGAGCTTGGTATCACTTGATATACTATTAATTTAGGTAATATGGAACCATCCCATTTCCATCGTTTCCCATCTATTCTAAACTTAAAGCAAAAATGTTTAGAGCAACATAGATGGAAAAACATTCTTTAGATAGCTACATATGGCTCTTGGTCAGCAGGTTTTATTTCACAGGTGAAATTAAGAGCAAATGACTTATATAAAATAAATTCAATTACTCCAGAAATATGATTCGCCACACTCAATATAGCAAGTCCACTGCACAGGCCACTTCAGGTCAGACATGAGATCTTTTATCAGTAGGCACTTACTGAAAGACTACAAATGGTACTTTAAAGGTAGAGGTACCTGAACTGAGTTTTTCCAGTTACATTATAACAGATGTTTATTTCACGAGAGAATGGATGGGACAAGCATGTTAAGGCAGCTGATGGTAAGGTATCTGTTATCAAATCTGTTGTCATGCTTTGAAGGCTGTATGATCACTGCATTGACTTGGGAACTGCTATTTTAAGGGAAAAATTGTGAAGAGAGGCAATCACTTCAAGAATCTGAAAATAAGTTAGGCTACACGATATAGTAGTACTTCTGCAGTAACTTCTGTCAATCAGCCTTCCCTCTTTTTTTCTGCACATTTAAATGTTTTGGTGTCACAGGGTTTTACTATGTAGGGCTCAGCATGAAAAGGCACAGGTTGAAGTATCCACAGGTCATCACCATTCTGCAGGTGGCAGGAAGTGTTTAACTGCTCACATAAGTGCTTTACTTGCCCTACATCAAACTATTTAAATTAGTTAAGCTGTTGTGGATCTATACCCTTACACTATTTCTATCCCTGCTAACCTAAGCCTTACCCATACAACCACAATTTCTTACTTCTCCCTACACAGAAGTCCAACTAGTTTTGCCAAAAGCTAATCACAGACAAACATGCTTAGAAAAGTGCCACCACTTTTCAGTTGAAATCCTACAGAGTGGGAACATAGATTGACACAGCGTAGAAAAAAATCACCTGATCAAACTAAACAGCTCATTCAGCCATAAAATAATTAGCCATCAAATTATGCATTTTCACAAGGTCTTGAAGAACAACCAACTTATCACAAAGAAGGTAATATCTCCACTATCATGTGTTACAATTTCAGAGTTCTCAGATCTGTAAAAGGTCATGTCATTTAATACCTTTTATTAATTTGGTTTATACAGTAAAGATCAGTATGGCATACCATGACAAAAGTCCAGGCTTATGTTTATAGCCTGTTACAGGTAACTTGCACAGCTACATCACAGACTATTCTGAGTTGGAAGGGACCCACAAGGATCATGAAGTCCAATTCTTAAATTAATACCTATTACATCCCCATATATAGGGCTCAAACCTACAACTTTGGCCTTATTAGCACTGTGCTCTAAGAAACTGAGCTAATTCTCTTTTGAATAGCAGAACCCGATAGCAGGGAAGTCAGTCTTCAAAGGAATACTAATAAGCTGTATAACTTCCATTACATGATCCACATTTGCAAATAAAATATATTGCCGAAACCAGAAGACTTCTGTTTACACATTACAGATTATCTCTCAACCAGTTCACAGTTTAGATGTAAAAGTTGCCCAGTACCTTTTGAAAAGAGTCTTCATCTGTTATATCATATACTAGAATAGCGCCATTAGAGTCCCTGTAGTAGATGGGCCCCAATGCATGAAATCTTTCTTGACCAGCTGTATCCTGCATTTAAAACACACTTATTAGCATTTAAGACAAAGCAAACAATACGTCAAGGAACTCCAAATACTTAGGAAATTTTACTTTATTAAAAAGTGCCTAACATTTGCGACACAGTAAGCCGACATAATTTTTTTTTCAGAAAAACATTCTAATTAACTAAGGAGGAAAAAAATGGAAATGTAAACGTACCCATATTGCAAGATTTACTCTTTTTCCACCAATATTTAGCTTCTTTGTAAGAAAAGATGCCTAGAAAGCAAAACAGATTAGAGTTAAGTTTTACACACCAAACACATAATTTGACTTAAAATTAATTTATTAATAAAGCATCAGAATCAATAAAACACAAATTTCCAGATTAAAAGACTCTGTAAGCAAGAAACCTAAGTCAATACTAAACCAGTTAGTCATTTCTCTACAGTTTGCCAGCAGCCTATTCTAAATAAATTTGCGTTAAGCCAATCATTTACTGCATCTTTTTTCTGTTGTTTTGAATGATTTGGGAAGGATGAGGTAAGCAGAAAGAGTCTGAATCCACAACACTGATAAGTCTAAGATGAACTCAAAGAATTTCACAAGAGTATGTGAAGCCTGCGTAGGAACCAGCCTAACAAGATTTTTTAATCTGCAGGAATTAGGCAAAGTAGTTCACTATTAGCAAGGTACTAGAACCATAAACAATTATTTGAATTTATCACTAAATATCTTGGAACATTAGTATTTCCTTGTCTGTAACTTTTCCCTTTTTTTGCTGAAGTGAGCCCAGAACTCACCCTTATCTGTTTTTTGGTTCTGTTTTTGTTTGTTTAATCTGAGAAGCCTCAGAATAAGCATACCAGCTGCTTCAGAATTACACCGCTTTAAACTTCTGGAAATGTTTTACAGGAGCAGAGCACATTGCAAGGTTAATCTGATTTCAGTAAATTGAGTAAGTCTGGTTTCCTCCAAATTTGCATGATTCACGTTTTCAGACACCATCTCTGTTACCAAGTCTGTAATTTGATGGCTAAAAAGGGAATATAATTTAATACAAATTTAATGGACCAGAACAGGGTCTCAAGGTGTTGATGCATTAGGACAATGCTCCCCCCATTCTAAAGACTAGCAGTAACATGTTATACCAAACAATTCAGTTACCAAAAGCTTACTTTTGTCTTTTGCCTTAAATTACAGTCAGACTTCCTTTCAGTTTTACCTCACTTTGCATTTGGGTTCAAACAAGTACTCAGTATTTTATGATAGATTAATCACAGATTATTTTAGGATGGACTGCAGTAGCTCAAGAGGAGCTCTCTATAAAAGCACTGACCAGCCACAGAACCAAGAGTCACATGTGGAAAGTGTCATAGGCCAGATGAGATGTTTGAACCAGCTTGCTGCTTAACTACACAAGCAACCAGAATGCACACAGAAGACTACAGCAGCTCATTGCACACCAATCTAAACTGCTGTCCAAGTGCCCTTCCAGAGTGCTGACTGTATTACAGTTAAAGTCATTCAACATTCAGTTGCTAGAGCAGCTCCTGCTCTTCAGCTACTTCCCTGGCACTTGTATGACCCAAGATGAGATGACTAAAAAAGCTCTTCTCTTTTCATCCTGAAGTTGTACCTTCCCCCAAACCTTTCCACAAAGTCTGATAAAAAGGACAGAGAACAGACCAGAAGAAAAACAGGCACTTTCCAAGAGCAGATAGCAAAGAACTGATCACAACAACTCTTGTGTTCAACATAAGTAACACATTAAAACTACACTACTCCCTCAGTCTACAGTGAGGGGACTCACTGTAGTGTCAAAACTCTGGAAAAACTTCCAGACAGCATGTCAAATGGATCTGATCCTCTAGCCAACCTGTAACAAACAGCTTAACAGAAGAGGAGCAAATCTTCAGCATCAGAAAACTTTTCATTCTTCAACTAAAAACTCTAGAGCAAGTTGATGGCTTTCAAGCAACTGTCCCTGAGGATTAACTCATCAGTAGTCTTCACCATTTGTTGTATTACATACACCACACTTTAAAAACTGAAAGCTAGGAGGCAACTTCAGAAGTTTTAATTCACCAATACTTGGGCCACAGGGAGAGAAGCTACTGTTAGGCACAATGAATCAATCTTACCTGACAATATTCTATTGATTTGCTGTACTACAGTACTCAATATTCTACTGTAAATCTCAAAGGAAAAGCTCCTCTGAGCAATGTTTGCTTTTGTTGTAACACCAACAATCCAAACCTGCTTAATTGATGTAAATTCCATACAAACGTTTGAGAATCAATTTCTGAGCAGAAAAATCTTCCACAGAAAGGGGATTTATATTTAAAAACACAGAACTCAGTATCCATAAAATCCTGCCATTGTAGCTTTAGACAATGACCCAGTTAATATAGCACAAGTATATCTCCCATCTGACAGACCAAAAACTAAAGTTTGTTTCTCTACATAGATAAGTTTTACTTCAGTATAAACTGTCCTTCAGGTACTATAGCTTTTGATAGGAATCCTGTCCTTTATCACTCAGATATAGATTTCCATTTTTTTATATACTTCAGCACTAAAAGACTCCTACATACAAGTAAGACTTTTTAGTATCACATAAACATCCATAACCACAGGAGACTGTAGCAAAGGTATGTAGCACTGGGCTGTATCCTCTATCAAATACCCTGATTACAAGCAGGTTTGTCTGATAAGACTGGAACCTGGTATTTGAAGTAGCCATGGTTAGTAATGAGCAGAAAGCTTTGTGAACATGCTGGAGGACACCATCAATACTACATGACAGATTTATTGCTTCATTCCTCTTTATATTATTCATATACTGGAAGAAGAATACAGTTAGCAGGCTCTGCTCATGGATTAGTAGGTATGGGTAAGTTTGGTCCGTTTACCATCAATAAAACACATTTTACATCCACAGTGGCAAATATGTCAAAGACAAATCAACCAGTATCTTTTAATCAACCTTTCAACACACACATACCCCTCACCAACCATTCTGAGGTTAGTGAGGGATAAAAAAACAACCCAATCAATCAAGTCAATATTAGGACTATGCAGTTTTTAGAAATTTGGGAAAACCCAACACATAAGAAAGAGCCTTAACTTCTCTTTTGAGATAGTTCAGAGAAAAAGTCAGTTGCCAAGATTTTAATTTGTCAAATGTCCAAGTCAAAGCCTTTGACTACCTAAAGGTCCTTAAGTAATT